GGCCCACATTTGTGGTCTGTATCATATTTTTATTGGGGAGCACTAAAGTGAGACAAAGAAAATAAAGGAGACAAAGAAACACATCAAAAAACAACGGGGGGCCGGGCGCGGTGGTTCAAGCCTGTAATCCCAGCACTTTGGGAGGCCAAGGCGGGTGGATCACGAGGTCAAGAGATCGAGACCATCCTGGTCAACATGGTGAAACCCCGTCTCTACTAAAAATACAAAAAATTAGCTGGGCATGGTGGTGCGTGCCTGTAATCCCAGCTACTCAGGAGGCTGAGGCAGGAGAATTGCCTGAACCCAGGAGGCGGAGGTTGCGGTGAGCCGAGATCGCGCCATTGCACTCCAGCCTGGGTAACATGAGTGAAACTCCGTCTCAAAAAAAAAAAAAAAGGGGAAAACTTTCCATTCTCTAGGCCCTGGAAGAGCCCAGACACTTTCTACTCTGTGTTCACAAAAGAAACCTAATCATTCTCTGTTCTTCAATCACCCAACCTACAGCTTACTACCTCTGAACAAGAATTACAGGTTTATCTTAAAGGCACATGGATTTTTTACATCTTTCTATATACATAATATGCTTCGCCTAAACCTAAATTGTCATGATAAAGAAAGAAAAAATAATAATGCTTTATTTTCTAATGGGGGAGCTTCCTTTTTATTCAAAAGGAGACTTGCTTCATAAGATTTTCTGTCCCACACAGCTCTTCTTTCCAGTTAAGGACTCAAAAATTCCTGTTTCTCTCTTATATGATGGTTGACAATGTAAAAAATGAAACCAATATAAAGGTGCCCTTTAGAAAGACTTCCGCTAAACAGGCAGTATTCCATGTTAGTATGGCTCTGAGGCCTCTTACAAAGATTTTTAAAGGGCCATAACAGGTTTAAATTAACCCCATGGAAAGAATCTGACATTTTAAAAGGATCTGATGACTCAAAACATTCTTTTGGACTCTCCCAGCCTCTTCACTGGAAATGCACTCAGGACAGTCATACCAGTTGGGTTTCTTGTATGATAGCCCAGATCAAGTACAAACTTGAAATGTGGAATAAGAAGAGTTATCCTAGGCTCTCCTTGATTATCAAGTGCTTTGTTTTTGTTTGTTGGGTTTTTGGTTTTGTTTTTGCTTGGAAAAGATGGTAGCATGTGTGTGTTTTACTTTCGCATTTGCGTGGAAAGGGGTACTTAACAGCAAAACAATGATAGCCAAGTCTTCCAGTCCAGAAATTACCAGGAGCTTTATCAGAACCAGACAATGCGTCTTTAGACAACTTTTATAGCCTCATAGAAGATACCAGGCTTCACTTTGCCAAGAACTACTACACTGGCCTGCCTGACCCTACCGCTGAGCAAAACATGAAAAAGCTAGAAAGAGCAACACAAAGTCCAGAGCAGCCAGCCACTCTAGGGAAGGAATTCTGATCTACTAAAGGTCAGTGTGGCTTGTAGCCATAAGAAATGCAGTAGAATCAGTTTAAGCAAATGAATCATCATCAGATGGTTGTATGATAGAGCACCATAACTCCTTTGTGTAAAGCAGGGTTTCTCCAGTTAACTCTTTTGCGGTTTTATGGATGGGTGTGTGTGTGTGTGTCTTTCTTGAGACGGGGTCACACTCTGTCACCCAGGCTGGAGTACAGTGGTGCGAACATAGCTCAATGTAACCCCAAACTCCTGGGCTCAAGTGATCCTCCTGCCTCAGCCTCCTGTGTAGCTAGGACTACAGGCACTCGCCACCAAGCCAGGCTAACCAGATGACTATTTATTGTGAGTAGCTCTTCTGTGAACTGTAGGATATTTAGCAGCATCCCCGGCCTGTCTACCACTAGATGCCAGTAGCAACTCCTTGCTCTTGCCCGCTTCATTCCGAATTCAAGTGTCAAAACCAGGTCTCTCCAGACATTGCCAGATTACCCTGTCTGTATGTGGGGGTTGGGGGTGGGGGGTGGGAAGAAGAACCCCTAGGTGAGAATCATTGGTAGAGAGCAAAAGCACTTGAAAACAGTTACAATAGCAGCTAAACAGAGGCTGCTTACACTGTATCCAGTGTGACAAACTATACTCAAGCAGTTAGTTTTGCACACAGTTAGTTTTGCACACGTGGCACGACACTTCTGACAAAATTTCTGATATTACCAAACATGAAGGATAACAAGATAATGAAGTACTCTAGGAATATTAAACAGGTGAGCTTCAAATGACACAGGATTCTTAAATCACTGTGAAAGTGATGCTATCTGGCCTCACTAATTAATTTAGTTTGTAAACTTTCAAAAATCAGATTAACCAGTAATGGTGTCAACTATTCAGGTGATGTTCCAACTCCTAAAGTCAGAATATTTGTTCTTTTCAAAATTATAGTTTTCAATTTTAACTGTTTAAACTGTAGGAAGAAGGTATTCTCAGATACTCTGCTAGATGTAGACTGCAACATGTAAAGCAACTTAGCAGCACCTACCAAGGTTTTTCTTACTCAGAATTCCACTTTTAAGAATTCATCCTACAGACATACTACCCTATGTGAACAGAGAGATATGTCTTAAGTAGTTCCCCATCAGTGTTGTTTACAACAGCAGGAAAATTAAAATATGCCAAATGGTATCAATAAGAAAGTGGCCTTAAGTAAGTAACTACTTATTCACACTTTGGAAGACTGTACAGCATTTTTTTTTTTTTTTTTTTTGAGATGCAGTCTCACTCTGTTACCCAGGCTGGAGTGCAGTGGTACGATATCGGCTCACTGCAACCTCCACCCTCTGGGTTCAAGCAATTCTCCTGTCTCAGCCTCCCGAGTAGCTGGGATTACAGGCATGCATCACCACATCCGGTTAATTTTTTGTATTTTTAGTAGAGGTGGAGTCTCACCAGGTTGGCTAGCCTGGTTTCGAACGCCTGACTTCAGGTGATCTGCCCGCTTCAGCCTCCCAAAGTGCTGGGATTACAGGCATGAGCCACCGCTCCCAGCTGTATAGCCATTAAAAAAAAAAAAAAAAGACAACAATATGACAAACTTTTCAGTAGGAAATGAAATATTCACAGAGGCCGAGATGGTGGCTCATGCCTATAATCCCCAGCATTTTGGGAGGCGGAGGTGGATAGATCACTTGAGCTCACCAGTTCAAGACATGCCTGGACAACATGACAAGACCCCATCTTTATAAAAAATACAAAAATTAGCCAAGCATGGTGGTGGATGCCTGTAGTTCTAGCTACTTGGGGGGCTAGGGTGGGAAGATGACTTGAGCCCAGGGGGTGGAGGCTACAGTGAGCCAAGATCACCGCCACTGTACTCCACCCTCAGGCATGGTGGCTCACGCCTGTAATCCCAGCATTTTGGGAGGCCAAGGCAGGCGGGTCACTGGATTTCAGAAGTTTAAAACCAGTCAGGCTAACATAGTGAAACCCCATCTCTACTAAAAATACAAAAATTAGCTGGCCCAGTGGCATGCACCAGTAATCCCAGCTACTCGGGAGGCTGACGCAGGAAAATCACTTGAACCCAGGAAGAGGCAGTTGCAATGAGCCAAGATCACGCCACTGCACTTCACTCTATGCGACAGAGGGAGATTCCGTCTCAAAGAAAAAAAATTCATAGAAATATAGTGAGAGAGAAAGAATATGGGACTATTTTTATAAAAATAAACATGACTGGCCAGGCATGATGGTTCACACCTGTAATCCCAGCACTTTGGGAGGCTGAGGCAGGCAGATCACTTGAGGTCAGGAGTTCACAACCAGCCTGGCCAACATGGTAAAACCCCATCTCTACTAAATATAAAAATCAAAAAATTAGCCAAGCATGGTGCTGTGTGCCTATAGTTCCAGATACTTAGGAGGCTGGAGTAGGAGGATGGCTTGAGCCCAGAGGGTGGAGGCTGCAGTGAGCCAAGATGATACCACTGCACTCCAGCCTGAGCAATAGAGCCAGACCTCAACTCAAAAAAAAAAAAATGCTCTATGTGGTAGCTCATGCCTATAAGCCAAGCATTTTGGGAGACCGAGGCGGCAAGTCACTGGAGATCAGAAGTTCAAGACTAGCCTGGCTAACGTGGTGAAACCCTGTCTCTACTAAAAATACAAAAATTAGCTGGTCCAGTGGCAGGCACCTGTAATCCCAGCTACTTGGGAGGCTGAGGTGGGAGAATCATTTGAACCCAGGAGGTAGAGGTTGCAGTGAGCCAAGATCGTACCACTGCACTCCAGCCTGTGCAACAGAGCGAGCCTCTGTCTCAAAAATTCATAGAAATATAATGAGAAAGAAAGAGTATAGTACTATTTTTATAAAAATAAACAGCTCTGGCCAGGCAATATGGTAAAACCCTGTCTCTACGAAAAATATAAAAATTAGCTGGGCATGGTGGTGTGTGCCTGTAGTCCCAGCTACTCAGGAGGCAGAGACAGAAGAATCACTTGAACCCCGGAGACAGAGTTTGCAGTGAGCCAAGATCACGCCACTGCACTCCAGCCTGGACAACAGAGTGAGATTCCGTCTCGGGGGGAAAAAAAAAAAAGAGTGACCCACTTAAGGCTTAATTAAAGTTGCCTAAACCAACCTCAAAGAGTTAAGAAACCTCACCCAGTTCCCCTCTTGAACCATAACCAATCAATAACTAAGAACATATACAGAGGGAAACAGTTGAATTTAGAACATTTAGTTTTGATAAATGTTTATTAAGTGTTTAATAAACATTTAATTTATAGTTTAATTTAGCAGAATCTCATCACATGCAGTCAAATTTAAATGATTCTAATTTTCCTTTTCAATTTATTGATCTGAGTAATCAAAACTAATGGATATGATTTTTCTTCTCCAACTTAAATCTTAAAAGAATGAGCAAAGAAGCCAAATGCCTGAAAGACTAACAGAACTAACAATTAATAAAAAATAAAATCTCGATTCTAGATTTAGGATAACAAACTATTTTATCTGGGTACACAGTTAAAACAAAATAAAGGTAGTTTTCCAAGAATTTTTCTGTTTTCAAAATACACAGACAGAGAGACACACTTCAAATCAAAATGTCAGGCACTCACCATAATAGCTATGGCCTTTAAACCACCCCAGTACCCCTCCCCCTGCCCACAGCTCCAGCCAGTTTAACTGCTTTTAAATGGAACACTCTAAATTGCTAAAAATAAACTATCTCTATTTCCTCCTACTTCAGTTTTCCCATTTTCTCATGACATTTTAACCTTTATCCAGGCAGTTATGATCACAAACATACAATACCTATATGATATCATTTGTTTTATAAAGAGATATATAAATGTGTATTTCCTTTCCCTTCGAAAAACAATATGGCAAAAGAATTTTGAAGTTCTCTAGCCAATTAGAACCCTTGATCTGAAGATTGGCTCTGTGGGATTTCATAAAACTTGGCTCCCCATCAAAAGGCCACAATTATTTTTTCTTGACTACAGGCATCATCTCTGGATTATCCACATCTCTTCCATCTCCAAAGGTAACCAAAAAAATATAGAGTAAACAAATGAGTATAAAAACACATGAACCTGGCCAGGTGCAGTGGCTCACCCCTGAAATCCTGGCACTTTGCGGGGCCGAGGTGGGTAGATCACTCAGGAGGCTGAGGCAAGAGAATCGTTTGAACCCGGGAGGCAGAGATTGCAGTGAGCCGAGACTGCCCCAATGCACTCCAGCCTGGGCAATAGAGGGAGACTCTGTCTCAAAAACACACACAAGGCCGGGCGTGGTGGCTCATGCCCTTAATTCCAGCACTTTGGGAGGCTGAGGTGGGTGGATCACGAAGTCAGAAGTTCAAGACCAGCCTGGCCAACATTACGAAACTCTGTCTCTACTAAAACACAAAAATTAGCCGCCTGTAATCTCAGTTACTTGGAAGGCTGAGGCAGAAGAATTACTTGAACCCAGGAGGCAGAGGTTGCAGTGAGCCGATATTACGCCACTGCACTCCAGCCTGTGTGACAGAGCGAAACTGTCTCAAAAAAAAAACAAAAAAACAAAAAACACATCAACCTGCTCAAGGTTTATGCAGAAGTGGAAAGATAAGTCAATGACAGATGCAAGGTGTCATATAACATCCCCCTCTAATGGCCAGAAACATACTCATGTTAGTGGTATTACCTGGTAGCACACTTCTCTTCTGTTCAATATTTCTATTATGAATATCAACAAATCTCATTTTCTCATTCACTTAAAATATAATACATTTGGTATTATATTAAGTGGTGAACTTCTGGCAATAACTGAATTTAGCTTCTACACAGCTTATGTCTTATTTTGAGCATGTCAATTCAGCCAACAAACTAACCATCTTCTCAGAAATGAACTTAATATCTCTGCTTTATAATTTAGAGAGCTTTTTTAGATAGTATCAACCAAGTCTTGAGAGATTTTTTTAAATCTTTGTTGTTTTTGTCTTAAGATCCAATGTCCTAAATCTGTTAAAACGACAGTGTCGTTTTTATCAAGTGAAAAAGCAAAGGTTGCTTAAATTCTCTAAGTTTTACTTACAAAGGAGCCTATGTAATATATGCATGCTTTTAAACAAATGTATACTATCAGGTGGCCTCTCTATCCATTTCACTAATTTCTTAACATCTCTTTCTTTTCTTTTTCAGTCTACATCATGCTTTGCTTGACATAGTTTTAGAAAAGAATGTTTTTCAATCTTTGTGTTATGAATCTTTGGAAGATTTTTAAAGTGTCTTGGATCTTCATTAATATCACTAAAGAAAATACAGTAACAAAACAAAACATTTTTATGAATTCAGGAAGTTCTTCTTTTAAATACTTTTTTTTTTTTTTTTTTGAGACAGGGTCTCACTTTGTCACCCAGGTTGGAGTGAGGTGGCATAAACATGACTTACTGCAGCCTTGACTTCCCCAGGCTCCAGTAATCCTCCTACCTTGGCCTGGCAAAGTGCTAGGATCACAGGCATGAACCACTCTGTCTAGCCTTAAATAAATCTTCATTAGTCACAAATCCCTATATTCATCTGAAAAACACCAGTACAAATCAGTCTGCAGAGAGGGGTTCATTTGGATAATCGAATCCCTTATAACAACTTCATATACCTCTCCAGCATTCATGGCCCAAAATTAGAAACCACTGGCAGAGACTATGAAATATAAAACTGCCTAGTTACAGGCAGAATGGCTCTTTAAAGTAAATATAAGGAATCGTAAGTGAAAATTTATGGTGTGTCAGGTACCAATGTTTTTCTCCTATAAAACTGTATTTCCAAATTTAAAATCAAAATTAGTCATGAAAATCATTTATATATAAGCATTTGCTTCACCACAGGCAATTTTTAAGAAATGCAGCTACTCATAAAAAGCCCCCAGGACACACTGGAACACAGAACGTGCCAGCTTCCAATTCCACCACCAAAGAGGGAAGTTGGTTTTGGTTTGAGCTCTACTACCCAATCAGAGCATCTGTAGCTAAAACCTTAATACAATTTTGAAAGTATCACAGTTCAGAGCTGCTACATGATAGCAGAAACGTAAAAATACAAATCATAAAATAGCCACCTCACTGTGAAACTAGAAGGGCTATGGCAGTAATAAGGACGAGAAAAGGAGCAGCAAAAAAACAAACTTAGAGATTTCTCCAAATTAATCAATATTTGGTAGTATCTTGTTATTATGGGCATGGTGGCTTACACCTGTAATCCCAACACTGTGGGAGGCGGAGGTGGGCAGATCACCTGAGGTCAGGAGTTTGAGACCATCCTGGCCAACATGGCGAAACCCATCTCTACTAAAAATACAAAAATTAGCCAGGCACCCCCAGCTACTTGTGAGGCTGAGGAAGGGGAATCACTTGGACCGGGAGGCGGAGGTTGCAGTAAGCTAAGATTGCGCCACTGCACTTCAGCCTGGGAGACAGACTGAGACTCTGTCTCAGAAAAAAAAAAAAAAAAAGAAAAGAAGAAGAAGAAATAATCCAAAGAATTTCTGCTCTAGATAAGCCCTAAGAGGCCACCTATTCTAGTCCAATTGTCTCATTTTACAGATGAAGAAACTGGCCCAAAGAAGTTGCGTGGCTTGCTCCAGGTCATTCAGCTGGCTGGTAGCAAGTCCCAGATCTTCTGGTTCCTAGCCCAATATCTCCAGTTTTTTGTCTGGTTATTTCACAATCCCTCTGCCATGTCCTAATCTGGATTTGATCCATTTTTTATGTTGAAAATTATTTTGACAACGTATAACCATTGTAAACAGATATTTCTCAAGCTTCATTTAACTATCCTGCAGATCACTCAAATTAAACCTCAGCAGTTTTCCCATCTATAGAGGAGGTGGTGCTGGGTATGTTTTGAGCACTATGAATTTTTCTTACAAGAACATATTGTCTCTTCTTTGATCTTGAAAGTCTATGAGAAACAAATGTGTTTTTAAAAAATTAGTTTCAAAAGCAACTTTTCAAAACGAAATTCACTTTAAGGAAAGCAAAACTTGGTTTTCAGAAACCAACGCACTAGATTTATTTTGACTTTAACTAAATCAGATGGGTACATCACCTGTCATTCAAATAAATACACCAAGGTGCCAAACGAAGATACATACTTACAATGCCAAATGCTGCAGTTCTTTTTACCAACTAAGTGTTTGTAACATGAAATAGTTTACACTGACTAAATTCTAAACTTAGAATTCAGGACAAAAATACTAAAACTGATATGAATAATTGTTATATACTTGTATGGCTAACTGGTAATGACACAGAAACGATAAATACCAATATGGAAGACTATAAATGAACCAACTAGAAATATAACAGATCCCTAGGCGGGCACAGCAGGCTTTGGGAGGCCACACCAGGAGGATCTCTTGAGGCCAAGAGTTTGAGAAAATAAAGCAACATAGATAAGCAATACAGCCAAGACTGCCATCTCTTCAAAAAAATTTAAAAATTAGCCAGGTGTGGTGGTACATCTGTGGTCCTAACTACTCCAGAGGCTGAGGCAGGAGTATGTCTTGAGCCTGGGATTTTAAGATTGCAGTGAGCTATGATCGCACCACACACAAGCAGCCTGGTTAACAGAGTGAGGCCTCATCTCTTAAAAAAAAAAAAAAGAAAAGAAAAACTATGACATCCTAGTGTAACAGCAGCTAAAATTTACAGAGTACAAACTGGAGCCAAGTGCTTTCCACGTGTTAACTCATTTAATTCTTACAATCCTACATCTACATACTATTATTATCTCCCACCTTACAAATCAGGAAACCAAGGCAGAGACAAATTAAATGAGAAGTCCACAGTCAGACAATTATAAGTGGGAGAACAAGGATTTACAACTATGCACTACAGCTCTATGGTCTGCATAGAAAATGTTAACACAATATAATGATGGTGGCAATATTACATGAAATGTCCAGAATAGGCAAATCCAGAGATACATAAAGTAGATCAGTGGCTGCCTGCAGCTGGGGATAAAAGGTAGAGAGCTATGAGGAGTGACTGCTAATGGATACAGAATTTCCTTCTGAGGTGATAAAAATGTTCCAAAAATAGACTGTAGTGATGGTTATACAACTCTGTGAAAGTACTAAAAACTAATGAATTGCACACTTTACATGAGTGAACTGTATAGTACGTGAATTATGTCTCAATAAAGCTGTTCAAAAATATGGTGGTGAGATATATTCAAAACTGAACCATACTCAGCAATAAAAAACAATGGAAAAGATAATTGCTAGTATTAGGGGAGGCAGTGTAAGTTCTCTGTTTTTGCTACTTTAAGTCTAAAATTATTTCCAAATGAAAGTTGTTTCTATTCTTTTTTTTTTTTTTTTTTAGATAGAGTCTCACTCTGTCGCCCTGGCTGGAGTCCAGCAGCATGATCTCAGCTCACTACAGCCTCCACCTCCTGGGTTCAAGCGATTCTTCTGCCTCAGCCTCCTGAGTAGCCGGGATTACAGGCCTATGCCCCCATACCCTGCTAATTTTTATATTTTAAGTTGAGACAGGGTTTCACCATGTTGGCCAGGCTGATCTCAAATTCTTGGCCTCAAGTCATTCACCCATGTCTCCGAAAGTGCTGGGATTACAGACATGCACCACCGCACCCAGCTGAAATTTTGGAATTGGAACCATCAACACAGCATGAAGCAGCAGGCACCAGATTTAGAGGCAGGAGGTGCTGCCCTGCCTCCTAACACCCATAGCTTCTCTTATTAAAGTCCTGAGGGTGACGAGACTCATCCTGCTCAATACCTCACTTGCCATGAGGACCCAACAGAAGGTAGCATGATATAAACACTCCCACTTGGCAAGGCATGGTGGTTCACACCTGTAATCCCAGCACTTTGGGAGGCCGAGGCGGGCAGATCACGAGGTCAGGAGATCGAGACCATCCTGGCTAACACGGTGAACCCCGTCTCTACTAAAAATACAAAAAATTAGCTAGGTGTGGTGGCACACGCCTGTAGTCCCAGCTACTCGGGAAGCTGAGACAGGAGAATCACTTGAACCCGGGAGGCAGAGGTTGCAGTGAGCCAAGATCACGCCATTGCACTCCAGCCTGGGCAACAGAGCAAGACTTCATCTCAAAAAAATAAATAAGCACAATACAAAAATTAGCCAGGCGTGGTAGCACATGCCTGTAATCCCAGCTACTCGGGAGACTGAGGCAGGAAAACTGCTTAAACCTGGTAGGCAGAGGTTACAGCGAGCTGAGATCACACCACTGCACTCCAGCCTGGGTGACAAAGCAAGACCCTGTCTCAAAAAAAGGAAAACACTCCCACAGTCAAATATCACCTATAAGATAAACATTACCATGTTGAAACTGTATAAAATTTTATAAAAGCAAAATTATCAGTAGAAAACTATCAGAAAAAGGTCCTTGAAAGCTCAAGAAATATAGTAATAATAAATAGCTAGGCCTGGTGCAATGGCTTACGCCTGTAATCCCAGCACTTTGCAAGGCCAAGGCTGGCAAATCACTTGTGCCCAGGAGTTTGAGACCAGCCTGGGAAACATGGTGAAACCCTGTCTCTACAAAAATTACCAAAATTAGCCAGGCACGGTGACACGCACCTGTGGTCCCAGCAACTCAGGAGGCTAAGGTGGGAGGATCACTTGAGCCTGTGAGGCAGAGGTTACAGTGAGCCGAGATTATACCACACACTCTGGCCAGGGAGACTGAGCGAGTCTCTGTATCCAAAAAATATACATATATATAGTAAACAGCTAATTCTTAGTGAGCACATTCTGTGTGCCACACCACTCTCCACCCTACTCATCTATTGGGTCACCTGATTTTCACAATAACACTATAAAATAAGTACTATTGTTACTAGCCCCACTTTACAGAAGCAGCAACTGAGGTTCTTATCAAAGTATATACATGCTGAGCAGGGGTTTAAACTTAAGCAATATGTCCCCAGAGTCTATGATCTTAACCTACTTTGGATACTGCCCCTAAAGCAAAAATTATGAACTTTCTTTGAGAGCTGCCATTCACCATTCCCTCAACTCATTCACCTAGGCCCTATGCAAGGTAAATAAGATGGTCTTTGGCACTCAGAGACCTTTCATTGTAGTAAGCCCCAAAAAACACTGTGAGAAGAGCGCTCTCAAGATTGCTGGGGACGGGGCTCCTCCTTGAAGCCAGTGAAGTCACAGGAAGCTACCTTCCTTCAGGTGACCTTGTCAGATCAATAAGAGTTCACAAAGAAGAAAAGGACAAAGAGAGCCAGGATAATTGAAAAGAGATTACCCATAAAGTAAAGAGGCAGCAGAGAAAAATCCAGGAGACAGAAAAATGAATTCACTAAACAGGAAAAGGGACATCTTCCCCACTGAAATGAGGAAAATAAAGTTCAATACAATTCATGCCTGTTGGCCATCATGAAGGTGGTAGTTCATAGTGGGGCATGTGGAGAAGCAAGGAATGAAACAGGGTGGGACCTTAAAACTTTATCCATCATTAATCTTTTGTGTTTGGGTTTATTCTCATCTTATAGATAAACTTAACTGTGACTCAAAGGGGTTACGGTCTTGCTAAGGGCCACACACAGGTAGAAAGTAGCAAATCTTCAAGGCCTGTTCTCTTCTACTCTACCATACTCCTTCTATGAACTGGTGTCACTGTGTAATGACATTAGTCAGCAGATACATGGATTCTGGTCTTCCTGGAAGATAGGATGGATGAAAATGCAACTGGAGAAATGTACACGTTATATTGTATATCATTCTTCAAAATACAAAGAAGCTGAACATGAACACGCTCCTTCCTCAAACTATAAGCAAAAATATTCTGGCTCAGTTTTCAGTGTTTTTTAAACAGCAAATAAAACACCCCACACCTCAGCAGTTCTCAAAAAGGATACACAGTTTACTAAAGTAGAAGCACACAATCCCTAATACACTAGAGGCTGCTTTATTTTCAAAAGTTCTGTCTTGTGGGTCAACCAGGCACTGATCTGACTAGGAGATGTACTACTAATTAGATAAGTCAATTACTCAATTTGACTTAATAAAAAGGCATCATGATGACTTGTTAAATTTTTATCAGACTAATTATTACATTGGGATAGGATAGAAGTAGCCCTTCAAAAAACATTTGTTTTGGTATATTAAGACCATGAGCCCACACAAATGCAGCTGCCGCCACCACTACTCCTACAAAAAAGCTTGAATAATACACACCAAAATGTTTGAAGGGGTAACCGTCTTTCTACTTCATTTTGTTACTTTCTACGGAAATACATGCATGACTTTATTTTTTTAAGA